CGGGCCCGGCTAGTCACCCTGTCTACCAGCCAGTGTGCCATTGTTTACAAGCTACTGAGGACATGTCCATGTGCACATGCTATATATTTTGTATTTTTCCATTGTTTTTAGTGCTTGTAACTTCTAAATAAGGCATCATGGGCCCAAAGAAAGCTTCTAGTGCCAACCCTGTGGTAAAAAGGGTGAGGTGCACTATCAAATTGATAAAGGAGATAATAGAAAAGTACGAGAGTGGAGTGCATATCTTGGAGTTGGAAAAGTTATAAAACAAACCCCATTTAATGATCACTATCATCTTGCGCAACAAAAAGGCAATCAAGGAAGCTGTTGTTGCAAAAGGTGCAAGTGTGATTACAAAACAGAGATTGCAAATACTCGAAGATGTGGAGAGACTGTTGTTGGTGTGGATAAACGAGAAACAATTATCAGGAGATAGTGTTTCGCAGTCAGTCATATGTGAAAAGGCAAGGCAGTTGCATGAGGATCTCATTAAGAAGATGCCTCCAAATAGTGCTGCCAGCAAAGGCTGGTTTGAGAGATTTAACCCTTTGAGGGTTTTGGTCGTACTAGTACGTTTTACGCGTAGGGGTTTTTGACGTACTAGTACTCATAAATTCTAGCGGCCTCAAATCTAGTGGGAGAAAGCTGGTAGGCCTTCATATGAAAGAATGGGTCTATGTGGTCAGTGTGCACAGTCTAAAAAAAATCCTGCAGCACACAGTGCATAATGAGAAAAAAAAAACTTTGACCACTTTTTTTTAATAAATCGGCGACTTTGCAGTGTATTTTCGTATGGTATTTATTGTTGTATTCTAGTTTTCTTGGTCTCATTTTATAGAATGGAAGACATATTACAGAAATTGAGATGATTTTGACTGGTTTTACAATGAAAGGTGCCTTGAAATTGAGCTCAAAGTAGCAGAAATGTTCGATTTTTACCAAACTTCAAAAGTAAACAAATCGTGCCAAGCATGCAATACACGTCAACTGGGAGTCTAATATTCTTTTACAAGTGCACCAATAATATTTATACCATTTTTTACACTAATGCAGTAGTCTGCATAACAGTAAATCTTATATTTTTTGTGAGAATAAAAATTCAAAGTGGAAAGCAAAAGAATATAAGAGGGGCCTTGAGACGTGACTAATGACTAAGAGGAAATGTCATTTTAGTGCCAGGAATGTCTTTCTTGTTTATTCTGGACCCTATTCGGAAATTGGCATCTTTTGAAATTTGTGTGAAATTGGCAAAATTGCTAAATTCTGACCACTGTACTGGATAGTTTAATTTATAAATGGGTGGTTTCTTGCACCCATTCGATAGAAAAAATGGAGTTCTAGCGAAATATTCATGTTTTTTGTCGACTAGTACAGTGAAATTGGCCGAAAATGGGGCTCAAAGTGGGCAAAATCGCCGATGCGTAAACATCGCCGAGACCGCTAACTTTCCGAGAGCATAATTCCGTAAGTTTTCTATCAAATTTCAAACTTTTGGTGTCTTTATGATCGGGAAAAGATTCTCTATCTTTTCATAAGAGAAAATAATTTTTTTTTTTTTTAAATTTGGCCGACCCTGAGAACGAGTTTCGGAGAGGGCCTGTCGACCCTCAAAGGGTTAAGAATCATAGTGGCATACACAGTGTGATAAGGCATGGTGAGGCTGCCAGTTCTGACAAAAAAGCAGCTGAAAAATATGTGCAGGACTTTAAGGAGTACATAGACACTGCATGTTGTTTAATATATTTATAGATGGGGTTGTAAAAGAAGTGAATGCAAATACAAAATGGGAATTGACACAGTTACTTTTTGCTGATGATACTGTGCTTATGGGAGATTCTAAAGAAAAATTGCAGAGGTTAGTGGATGAGTTTGGGAGTGTGTGTAAAGGTAGAAAGTTGAAAGTGAACATAGAAAAGAGTAAGGTGATGAGGGTATCAAATGATTTAGATAAAGAAAAAATGAATATCAAATTGGGGAGGAGGAGTATGGAAGAAGTGAATGTTTTCAGATACTTGCGAGTTGACGTGTCGGCGGATGGATTTATGAAGGATGAGGTTAATCATAGAATTGATGAAGGAAAAAAGGCGAGTGGTGCGTTGAGATATATGTGGAGTCAAAAAAACATTATCTATGGAGGCAAAGAAGGGAATGTATGAAAGTATAGTAGTACCAACACTCTTATATGGGTGTGAAGCTTGGGTTGTGAATGCAGCAGCGAGGAGGCAGTGGAGATGTCCTGTCTAAGGGCAATGTGTGGTGTAAATATTATGCAGAAAATTTGGAGTGTGGAAATTAGGAGAAGGTGTGGAGTTAATAAAAGTATTAGTCAGAGGGCTGAAGAGGGGTTGTTGAGGTGGTTTGGTCATTTAGAGAGAATGGATCAAAGTAGAATGACATGGAGAGCATTTAAATCTGTAGGAGAAGGAAGGCGGGGTAGGGGTCGTCCTCGAAAAGGTTGGAAGGAAGGGGTAAGGGAGGTTTTGTGGGTGAGGGGCTTGGACTTCCAGCAGGCGTGCATGAGCGTGTTCGATAGGAGTGAATGGAGACGAATGGTATTTGGGACCTGACGATCTGTTGGAGTGTGAGCAGGGTAATATTTAGTGAAGGAATTCAGGGAAACCGGTTATTTTTATATAGCCGGACTTGAGTCCTGGAAATGGGAAGTACAATGCCTGCATTCTAAAGGAGGGTTTTGAGATATTAGCAGTTTGGAGAGATATACTGTGTATCTTTATACGTATATGCTTCTAAACTGTTGTGTTCTGAGCACCTCTGCAAAAACAGTGATTATGCGTGAGTGAGGTGAAAGTGTTGAATGATGATGAAAGTATTTTCTTTTTGGGGATTTTCTTTCTTTTTGGGTCACCCTGCCTCGGTGGGAGACGGCCGACTTGTTGGAAAAAAAAAAATACACTGAAAAATTAAAACCCCCAACAAGTGTTTAATTGTGACAAAACAGGCCTGTTTTGGAAGAAAATGCCAAACAGGCCCTACATTACTCAGGAGGAAAAGGCACTGCCAGGACACAAGCCTATGAAAGACAGGCTAACTCTAATGTTGTTGTAGTAATGCTAGTGGGGATTGCAAAGTGAAGCCTTTACTCATGTATCACTCTGAAACTCCTAGTGTGTTCAAGAAAAACAATATTGTCAAGACTAAATTGTGTGTGATGTGGAGAGCAAACAGTAAGGCATGGGTCACTAGAGACATGTTTACTGACTGGTTCTGTGACGTGCTTAGCCCCACTGTGAAACAGTACCTTCTGGTAAAAAAATTGGACCTTAAGTGCCTCCTGGTAATGGACAATGCTCCTGCTCATCCTCATGACTTGCAAGAGCAAATTGTGGGGGAGTTGAGCTTCATCAAAGTGAAGTTTTTTCCTCCTGATACCACTCCTCTCCTGCAGCCCATGGACCAGCAGGTCATTTCAAATTTCAAAAAACTGTACACCAAAGCAGTGTTTCAAAAGTGCTTTGAAGTGACCTCAGACACTGAATTGACCCTAAGAGAGTTCTGGAAAGATCACTTCAGTATCCTCAGTTGCATAAACCTTGTAGGTAAGACTTGGGAGGGAGTGACTTGCAGGACTTTGAACTTTGCTTGGAGAAAACTGTGGCCGCAGTGTATACAAGAGAGGGATTTTGACGGATTTGGGGCTGACCCTAAGGAGCCTATGCCAGTTGTGGAATCTATTGTGGCATTGGGAAGACCATGGGGTTGGAGGTTAGTGGCGAGGATGTGGAAGAGTTGGTGGAGGACAACGATGATGAGCTAACCACTACAGAGCTGCAAGAGCTTCAGGTGCAACAGCAACAGACCAAAGCTCAGGGATTTCCTTCAGAGGTATTGGTAACTTGCACAATGACACTCTTGTGGCCCATTTTAGGGAAATCTTAAAGGGACATGAGAAACAGAGCTCTCTGGACACATATTGCACGACAGGCATCCAGTGACTCAAGCTGGTCCTAGTGGCATTAAAAAACAAAGAAGGGAGGTAACCCCAGAAAAGGACTTGTTACCTGAAGTCTTTATGGAAAGGGATTTCCCTTCCTAACAATAGAACACCTGCATCATCTGCCCTCCTACCATCTCATCACTCATCAGCACTTCCACAATAAAGGTAAGTGTCATTTTAGTAATGTTCATTGTACATGTAACATTATGTTTGGTGTAGGAAAATGTATATTTCATGTGGAAAAAAAAATCATACGTTTGGTTGTCTGGAACAGATTAATTGGATTTCCATTATTTCTTATCTGGAAAATTAATTCGGTTGAAAGTTAAATTGGTTAAAGCCTAGCTCTCTGGAATGGATTAAAGGCGTTAACTGAGGGTCCACTGTTATGCTGTTCTATGAGGCAGTCACGCAGTCCCCCCATTCTAGTTTTTGACGACGAGCTGCCGCTGGTTATAGGACATTCTGGCAGGATGACACTAGCAGTGATATCAAAATTGAAAGAATGTTGCACATGGGCTATTATCGAGGTTTTTGATATTTCCTCAACCACTTGCGGGCACATCCATCTCAAAGCCACTAAACTCGGCGGTCAACATCACTTTCCTCTTAAAAGGGAAGTGTTAATAAGACATAACATTAGTGAATCCCTGGTGTTCGCCATGCTGTTTGCTCTAGCTGGTGCTCAGTTGAACTAGTGCTCCTACAACATACTAAGTGGTCCCAGATTTTTTTAATACTGTGCACACCGAGTGTTAAGACCCATTCTCTACTGACCAGGCATCTCAGGCCAATCATGCCAAATTTGGAGGCAAGAAAAATTAAACATTTGTCTACGTTTGGAGAGATAACGGTAACAATGTATACCTACTTTTGGACAGTTAAGGGTTAAAGGTACAAAAAATTGTGCATACTAGAACATCAGACACAGTTTAAGGGTTAATTTAAGTAAAATAGATGTATGTAAGCAAGGTCAACATTGTTGTTATTGCATTATTGACTTCATCATCATTGTTGTATTTATAGCTTCATTTTTTTTTTTTAGGCCTACTTGCTGCTGCTACCCAGCCTCGTTGTTTAGACTCTTCACTCTTGGACATACCCTCAATGGAAGGAGATGGTAATAATGAGAGAGTGAATGGTGCAGATGCAGGTAATATGTCTGCAGTTGGAATACCTAGCTTTCCTGCATTATCAACAACACCTCCCTCTCCACCATCTTCCCCATCACGCCTTCTTCAACAGTCAGATAACCAGTGGCTTAACAGTGAAGTGAATGATTTCTCTCTTTCCAGTTTCCTCGGTCATTTTGAATCGCCAGTGAAAAGCTCAAATTCACGTGGGCCTTCTCAAACTGCGCCTTCAGGCTCATTTGTGCCTAGCCTTAGCTCAGTCTACAATGAAAACAGTGTAGACTTCACTGCAACCTTTGCAGAGATGAAAGCACAGGTATCAGGGGTCTTTAAACAGTAATTAATTTGCTGACATATAGCTTTATGATGTTTTGATAATCATTGTACGGTACTGGGGCGATATTAGTTTTAATATGTGTGTGGATGCGAGTGTGTATTTATGTAATTTAAATATTTTTGAAAATGTTAAAATTTTATGAAATAAAATGTGCATTATAATTTTGGTTTAGTGAAGATTTAAAACCATTTTGACAAGTTACTAGCTAAGTACATTCTATGTAATATAAAATCTGTACACAAATGTGGTAAATGTTAGAGAACAAATTTATTCAATTTTAATTTAAAAAATAGCTGTTTGTTTTGTGTTTGGTAAATATTCAGTATGTGTGTTGATTTATAGACTACTTGGGTATCTGTAGATTGAGGCTACAATCTTAAATGGAGTATGAATGACTTATAGGTATAGTGATTCCCTTTTTTTTAATTTGCCCCTCGTCCCTCATCCATTTTATATTCTCTATAAAAATCCAGAAGAGGGTGTTGATGAAGGTCTCTTGATTCAAGAAATTGGAGCTATTCCTCCCTTTGGATCGAAGCTAATTCCTTCCCATATTCCAGGCACTTTGGTATGATCCCTTTGGGTTCAATGCTCCCCTCTGAACATACAAATTCTGTTTAAAAAAAATACAAAGTGTTACAGTTTTGGGATTACATATCTATATAGTACAATTTTTTGGAAAGCCCCATTGTTATGCAGATAATTGTGGGAAAACTAAATAAAACTAGTACTAACAACTGCTTAATACTAGTATAGGTATGGCACTAATGACTTATATCAGGTGTGAAAGTAGAGTAATTACTATTAAATCTATCATAAAAGTCTCAGTGCACTCAGTACCTTGCAGCCTTTGATTAAAGGTTCATTAGTAGCTCATCAACCCTCATGCAAATACATCAAGATGTATTTAACTTTTTATTGTACAAAAGTAGATTATATTGTTAAAACAAAAATTCTTCAAAATATTTAACTGAAACAAAGCTTTGAACTCTCTTAACTATTAAGTTGAATGAAGTATTAATAGGAATTTTGCATTTGACCTTATTGCTGCTGAAGAAGGATTTGAAATTAAGGCTCATTGATTTCAGTGTGTTGTTTATATTTTTTTTAAACTAGCTGTCTTGCACCAAAACATGTTGATCTAAAAAATAAAAAAAACTCACCATCATTCAATCAAGAGCTGTCATATCATAAATGATACACAAATAAAATAAGAAAATTTAAAAGCAGCAATAAACTTAATAGTGCATTTAATGTTTATGTTAAAAGAAAATGTATTTTTTTCAAGTTCCACATGCTTATGATCAGTGCCAAGTTAGATAACAAGGCAAGCTTGCTCATATTGAAAATTGCAAAGAATGGAGGAAAAACCAGAAAGATGGCAGTGAAAATGGCACCAGTGACACGTTAAAAAAAAGGGGGGGTTAAAAAAACAAGCCTTAGTGTGATCATTACTAGTCAAAAGAGCTGCATAAACAAAAAAATTCCAAATGTTTATACATGAATTTAGTATGGTACTGTAATGTTTCATGGTTCAGTCAAGGCTACAAATATCCCATTAATAAACAAATTTGCCACTTATTCATAGAAAAATAAATCAAAATGGTAGCGTAATTTCTCTAAGTGTGCATCCTTCATAGGGGATGCATTGATGTTGAAGGGCTTCTGAGCTAAGGAATTAGAGCTACTCTCATACCCCAGGCACATTGACTATCATGTGTTAGCACTTCCTCATGATTATAAAAATATTTTAGGTACAGTGGACCCTCAACCAACGACATTAATCCATTCCAGAGGGCTTGCCGTTGGTCGAGTTAATTTTCCCCATAAGAAATAATGGAAATAGAATTAATCCGTTCCTGACACCCCAAAGTCTGAAATTTTTTTTTTTTTTTTTTTACATGAAATATACATTTCCTTATATGGAAAGGAATGGGACATGCAAAATAAACAATAATTAAATGCCACTTACCTTTATTGTGGAGTTTGTTGAGTGATGTGCCAGCAGCAGGGGAAATACAGAATTGTCTATTGCTTGGAAGGAGAATCCCCTATCAGAAGGACTTCATTTCCATCGTAATTCTCACCCTTTTTAACACAGGCTTGGCACTAGAAGCTTTCTTGGGACCCATGGTGGCTTACTTAGCAATTACAAGCACTAGAAATAGTGGAATTATCCAGAATATGTGGGAGGCACACGTGGAAACCGACCGCAACACCTTGTAAACAATGGCACACTGACTCTTGGAGTGGCTGGGCCCACTCAGGCCGCGCTCGGGCACAGTGACATGTTCCGGACAAACGTCATTGGTTAAGGCATTTTTTCTATGGCAAAAAGTGCCATTAGACAAAATTGCCGTTACTTAATGCCGCCATTAGTTGAGGGTCGGCTGTATATGCACAATAAGGAAAATATGACAATTTAATAATTTTAATGATCAAAGGGATTATGCTCTAACTTAGAAGTGTGATAAATGAATAATTACTGAACACATTTTTAAGAAAGTAACAGTTCAGGCTCTGGGACATGCTAGATATTAAGAGTGAAATGAGAGGTTGAATAAGAATGGAAAGTTTCAGTTTTTTTTTTCTACTTTGACCACCACCACCTTGAGACGGCCAGCCAGGTGAAGATTCTCAACACCTTATTTTCAGCTAAAACATCACAAGGAAACCAGATGTATAGTCAAACCATTTGTTTAATTTCTTTCCAAAACAGTATAGCAGTAGTAGGATAAACTAGTTAGGAGAAAACCCAAAATAAACTGATATTCCAAAAGCTGCCATATCCAAAGGAGGTTTATGAAACCATTGTTTGCACATTAGATCTAAGAAAAGCATAAATAAAACCATAGTTTACATGTAGTTCACCTGTTTCACCATTCAGTTTCCACAAGAAATTAAGGTGCATAATCAAAGAATTGAGGCAGCATATTGATTAAATAAGGAAATTTGCCTGTTCTTACATTTGGGCAAGCAGCTAGGCTGTTAAACCAGCCAGAAAATGTATCCTAGTAACCCTGTCAGTCACATGTACATTATTTCATATCACAGTGTACACACATCCCTTGTGGTAATGGCGATATGGTACCTTTTTACACAAAGAATTGCATTTTTTTTTTTTTGTCACCAAGATATTTTTATGTTTGCTCTTCTGGGAGAATTTTACCTTAAAATCTGAGCTGACATTAATCAGTTCTGTGTAGTTAGAACACACTCAGCTGGGATGATGAGTCTGGTTTATGAGTGAGTTTTGTATTTTGTTTTTCTTAGTTTTTAACAAAATTGACTTTCTTGTTTTTAAATAAGTAAAAAAATTTAGATTTTCTTTTATATTTTGTTTATAAGAGGATTTATTTTTAGTATTTTTTTATATGTTATTTTTAAGTAAGATACATTGATTTATTGTTTTAAGATATTTTGATAAGTATTTGTAATGAGCTTATCTTTTTATAATCAAGAATGAAATTTGGAACTTTTTGTTTAGTATTTGTGATATTGTTAATGAGCACCAAAACATATCCATGCTTTGAGTATTCAAGATTGAAGGTGGGAGGTACAGTGCTTGTATTCTGAAGTTTAGGTAGGAATGTTGCACTTCAGAAGTACATTGAACTGTGATGTATGTGCACTTCTTTCAAGACAACATTTTTTTTTTTTTTTTTTTTTTTTTTAACATACGCACGCATGCTCTCGCACATGCCTCCTTTCCTCTCCAACTATTTTCCACCAGGGTTGGGTGGCCCATTAAGGGAAACATTCACCATTATTCATTCAACTACTTTTTTGCCAAAAGTTGAAAAGATGTCACAATTTAAATGGCCTTCCAAATTGCAAAGGGATTATGTATGTATGCGTCAATAACAACATTGTGACTAACTGAGGATTCGAACCCATGTCGTTTTGGTCCACCTCATGGTGAGCAAGGCAGGCCAAAACGACATGGGTTTGAATTCTCGGCTAGACGCAGTGTTGTTATTAATTCAATACCACTCATTCATGGTTACAGTAATATTTATACTGTTTGTGAAGGCTAATGCACCAAATGGGGATTAGAATGAAATTAGCTCAGAAGCACCCACACCACCGTATGTCCTTGAATCAAGGTAAAACGCCTAACTTTGCTGGGTGCTTGATTTTTGTAGGATTGGGTGGTCTGTGGGTTAGTGTGTCATGTGATTTTTGCCGCTCACCATGAGGCGGGCCAAAACAACATGGGTTCAAATCCTCAGCTAGTTGCAGTGTTATTATTGATTTAATACCACTCATTCATGGTTACAGTAATGTGTGTGTGTGCGTGTGTAAGGTGGAAAGGGATTAGATCTGATGGCCAACCAGACACAAGGTACTCTTGTTCCTGCTGAGTCATGAATGTCTGAAATCTCCACAACTAGGAGTTGTGCTATTCACCAGAGTTGTGAATATACAGTAGATCTGCAGTTAGAACACAATTAGATCATAAGATTTACATAGCATGATTGAGAAATTGATGTGGAAAAATATAACATAGAAAAGGGTCAATGTTGATTGCCGAGAAAATATTAATCTAGAAGTCACTGTGTTGGATTTAACCCTTTCAGGGTCCGTCCCATAGATCTACGGCTTTACTTTCAGGGTCCAAACCGTAGATCTACGTCATGAGCTCAGCTCACTCTGATAAACTGTGAGTGGTACATTTGGGCCTAGATATGAGAGAATACATCTATGTAGTATGTGTGCACCATATAAAGCAAATCCTTCAGCACACTATGTATAATGAGAGAAAAAAAACTGAAACCATGATTTTCGATTAAAACAGCGACTTTGCAGTGTTTTTTCGTATGCTTTTTATAGTTGTATTTGCGATTTCTTGGTCTCATTTGATAGAATGGAAGACATAATACAGAAATAGAGATGATTTTGATTGGTTTTAGCACTGGAAATGGCTTGAAACTGAGCTCAAAGTAGCGGAAATGTTAAATTTTTGCCGATGTTCAAGAGTAAACAAATGACCTCACACGTCTAATACATACCAGCTGGTGGGTCTAATATACATTCACAAATGTGGTGATGATATTTATACAATTATTACAATATTGCATAACAGTAAATCTTCTGTTTTTTGGTGTGAATAAAAATTCATTGTGAATTTAAACTCAAAATGGAATTTATTTGTAAAGCCTCAAAATGTAACTAATGAACAGAGGAAATGTTAGTTTAGTGCCAGGAATACCTACATTGTTTATTCTGGACCCTATTTTGAAATTGGAATATTTTTAACTTTTTGTTAAATTGGCCAAATTACCAATTTCCGATCGCTTTATTTTGTAGTTGAAACAGTTGACTTGGGGATTTCTTGTCCTCAATCGATAGAAAAGAAGTAATACTAGTGAAATGGCTAAGAATTTGGTCGACTGGAATAATGTAATTGGCCTAAAATGGGAGTCAGAGTCGGCAAAATCGCCAATTCGTAAATATCGCTGACACATCAAAATTCGCGAGAGCATAATTTCGTCAATTTTCCATCAAATTTCGTACTTTTTGTTTTATTACCTTCACGAAAAGATTCTCTACCATTTCATCAGATTTTTTTTTTTTTTTTTTTTTTTTTTTTTTTTTTTTTTTTTTTTTTTTTTTTTTTAAATTTTTGGACACGGGCACCACTTAGTTTTTGGGCCTTTGACCTTTGAAGTGGTTAAAGACCAGGGCCCTTGCAGAACAACATTAGGGAGCCCTCACATTTCAACTGTTCACAAAGGGAATTGAACTTTAACATTGAGCCACCTCTTAAAGGGGGGGCTCTTGGCGGGTGAAGAGGCTTTGGCTAGGATTAGACCTATGGGTCTTCTTCCTCAGACCGAACCTAATTACCCCCCAATCCCCCCCTCCCCTATCCCATCCCCCCATCCCCCCTTTTTCCTTTCCCCTCCTCCCCCCACCCTCCCTTTTGCCCTTCCTTTTTTGCCCTTTTGGGGTTTTCTCCCCAGGCGCCTTTTCCGGGAGGGAAAGATCCGGGGGTCCATCCCATTCCTTGAGGTCTTAGCATGCGTAGTTTGCCGGGAACGGGATCCCGGGGAGCCCCCGATCCCCTCCGTACCCCGGGGAGTAGTTTGGGGTTTTTTTGGGGCGACGAGTGTATCTCTGGAAGCCCCCTTTTTTGGGTTTTCCGGGGGGTGGTGCCGGGAAGAGGAGCTTTGGCGGATATCCGGGCCCCCGCCCTCTCTTTTGTCCACCGAGGTAGCTCGGCAGATTGGGGTTCTACCCCGGGTTTGTTATTTTTACTAGCATAGGGGTAGGGTATCAGGGGTTCCATGCTGCACGCGCTACTTGCGGGCTGGGGTCCCTTGGGGGGGAGGGAATTTCGGCCCCTTTCATTCCCGGGAACTATCCCTCCCCGGGTCCCCCCTTTTTTATTTTTTTTTTTATTTTTATTTTCTTTTCTTTTTTCTTTTTTTTTTTAAAAAACAAAAAAAAAGAAGTAACATAAACAATCCCACCCCCTATCCATGAACCTGGTCCCCCCCCGGGCCCTTCTTGATACCGCACCCCTTTTCTGACCCCCCCTCGTCTTTGGCCCACTCTCAACATTCCTCACCCTCTGTACCTATTGCCGTGCTGTTCCCTACCCGTTTCGGGACTGGGCCTCACTGACCCTTCGATTATCGGACCTTCGCTCTCCTCTGACATCTTTGGCCTCCCCCTCTACGTGCGGAAATTTTTCAAATCCCCCCCTTTTTTTTTTCACTGGGCCAAACTCGGGTCCCACGCCAAACGTCAACGAAAATTACCTCTGATGATCTTCTCCACCTTCTCGCTCAGAAACTTTGAAAACTCCTTCACTCCCTTCCCCGCTCAGTTTCAGACTGAACAGGGGACTAAATTCTTACTTTCGACCAACTTCCTCTACTGCCTATTTTTCTGCCCAAGTTTTGGGCAAGGCACTCCTACGCCATTTGGAAAAGATTTTTCTTTCACTTTTAAACGGTACGCCATCATTACCGTACAGAATCTACCCAGGCCATACTCTCTCGTCTTTCCCATATCATACTGTTCCTTCACTCAAAAAAACATCATTCCCTAAATTCTTGTAGTGTCCGTCATTCTGCCCCATACCATAGTTCAACAAAATTTCCAGACAGGGCACCGACTTTCAGAACACGGGAACTCCAAATCTCCCAACCTCAAGGTAACATTTACGTTCTTCCTCCCGGGGGGGGAGACGATACCCACAATGGGCTTTTTAACTTTTGACAGCCAAAACCCCCCATCCCCTTTATATAGCAGGACTCGTTACAATTCAAAAGGTGACCCCCTACCCACAACGTGAAAATTTCTGGCGTTTTTGGCCACCCCACAAAAATTTGCAGATCTTCGCCGAATCCCAGTCTGGGTCCGAGACCTTTCAAACGTCTTCATCGACTCCCCTTTTGCCTTAACTCAGGGCCCCCCGTTTTTCCCCGCCTTTGGCAGTCTATTTAAACGGGGGGAAATCCGTACCTCAAGAGACAAAAGTCTCCCTTACCCATGGCAGTTTCTCATCTCCGCCTCCGGGGAAACCCCCA